GTTCACTTACCCTTAAATACTTTACTACATAACCACTGTACAATCATGAACTTCAGTGAATTTAACATTAAATAAATAGCTGTATTTAATCTACAGTCTGCATTCCAATTTGACCAATTACCCCCTAGAGTGCAGGATCTAGTCTAGTGTCAGGTATTGTATTTAGATGACATGCCTTTAGTTTTCTTTAATCTGGGACATTTCCTCAGCCTTTCTTTTTTTTTCATGACATTAATGTTCCATTTCAATAATAGCGTATTTTTTCTTTTATTTTTAAAAGTAGAATGTCTTTCATTTTGGTTTTTGACTGATGTTTTCTCCTGATTAGATTCAGACTATGCATTCCCCAGTGGATTACTACATAGATAATGCTGTGTGCTTCTCAAAGTATCATACCTGGAGACAGGTAAGGACTATCTGTCACTCACTGGTGAGGTTAATTTTGATCCCTGCTTTGTAGGACAGTGATTTCAGACTGCAAATATCCTGTTCCTCATCAAAATCTCCCCCAAGATTTAACATGCACAGTATGAGCAAATCTTTATTATGATTGTTACAGAATAATGATTTTCCAACTCCAGTCCTTCCACCATATTTACAGTCAGTGCTTGGCATGTTACTAAACAATCATTTGTATGGATTTCTAGTTTTTTGATGCTTTATAATTGATTATGATACTTAACTACTTTGGTGCACAAATCGTCCCAGATTTGGCCACTGGGAGTCCCTTCAAACTGGCTTCCTATGTCTGTTTGAAATGTCTCCATCATTTTTTTGAGTCCTTTTTACTTTCTAAGCCACTGTCTTGTTCACACTCTCCTAGACTGAGTCTGTCCTCATGTCCAGTAAATAAACACCCAACACTGGGATTCTGCTCAACAGAAGTGGATGAGGGAGCTGATGATCAGGATGAGAATTTGGGCTGGGGAATTTGTTTTTGTTTTTTTAACTGAGTCCTACCTCCTCTGATATACCCAAAGCAAATAGGGGTGGGGGGGGAATCACAAACATAAACTTGTTGCGTGGAAGAAACTAACAGAGTGTATGATTCCTTTTGTATGAAATTTTAAAACTGCCCAAACTAATGTATGGTAAAAGAAATTAAGTCAGTTCCTGTCTTGTGGGTAGTGGCTAGAAGAGGACAGAAGAAGAGCTTCTGGGATACTGGGAATGTTCTCTTTCTTCATCTGGGTGTTGGTTACACAAATGGGTTCACTGTATGAAAAGTTGCCAAGTATAATTTGTGTACTTTTTCTGTATGTTTGTTATACTTCAATATGAAGTTTTCAAACACAAGAACAGTGTTCAGAGATATGTTATTTCAGTCGCTGGGGGGTTCCGCTTCCTGTTTCTGCCTGGGGTTTATCTCCACAAGAGATTTCCCTTCCACGGTAAAGTGTTTACCAAGGATATCATGATTAACCTTGAAGTAAAAGAAAAGATCAATTCGTTATTGTTTCCTGCACTAAGATATGATGTATAGTGGCTAATACAGAGCATCAAGATGCGCTATCAAAGTCCAACAAGAATCTTTTTATGTGGGAAAATTAAATGAACTAGTTTTTGGTAAGCTTTTATCTTCAGAGTACTAGAGAATTGTATGTGACCTGAATCCCCTGATTTAGTGTTTTTACACTTAAGTGGGAGCTCTCTTTTTTCTCTTTCTGTTTTTTTTTGTTTTTGTTTTTTGTTTGTTGTTGTTGTTTTTGTTTTTCCATTTTTTTCTTAGGCAGACAAGGCAATGAGAAGTGATATCTGGATCGTTTTATTTCCCCTCGTAAAATACTCTCAACTCCAATGGTGGAGTCTTGCCTCTGTCCCTCCAACTTGCAGCTCCTTCTGGAGATGCCCAAAAATCCTCAAGATCAGTACTGACAGGGCCAGATTTCAGGTCCATACTCTGCACAGAGCAATGCTCTATAGCATATATTTCTTCTTCTTCAATTTATACTCATTTTAACATCTCCTCAGAAAGTTTTTAAAAGGTTTTAAGAAACCACAAAAGAGGCCTAAGGAGCAAATTAGCAAGATCCCTTTACCCTCCCCAAAGGTCATGCTGGGCAATTCTGCTTTCTGAATGAGAAAGTCCAGTGAAACCTAATGTGAGACAGACATTTTTTCAGGAGCAAACACCACTTGGATTTTGCAATAGAGAACATGGGCCTAGGGAGAAAGGGGAAACAGTATTATCTATTTGTTTACAGAGCCTTGCAACCTGCCAGATTTGGGGGTTGAAATGGCCTTGGAGATGTCTCAGGTGCCTGGGTTGGATATATTATTTTATCTCTCTAAATCTCAGTTTCTTCACATGTAAACTGAAAATGATAATACCTATATTTCATGACTGTTGTGAGGTTTAAAGAAGAAATGTACAAAACTTTTATTCACTGGGACCTAGAACAGAGTGTGCTTTTACTATTTGGTGGCTATTCTTATTGTTGTTGGTATTAAACTGGAACTTCTCAGCCTGGAGTAATCTAGTTGTATCTCTTTGATAACTGCCATCTTCCCCAGCTCAGGAATTCCCCATGTCTTTGGGACTGTATATTATTTACTGGTCATAAGGATCTCTGAATATACAAGGGGAACCACAGGGAAAAATATGACCCCTCTGTGAAATCAATCATATTACAGAAAAATGTTCTTTAAATACTTTTTCTCAGAAAACATGGTCTGGATAACAGGCTCACTGCTGCTAGAGAAAATAAGGATCCAGGTAATTTTTCGATGGGAAAAAATATCTTTTGTTACTTATGGAAGTAGAAATTTCCAAAACCTACTTTAGGTTAAATTGTTCTTTATGGATTTTTGGCAGGAGAAGGTAAAGAGCAAAAAGCTATGAGAGTGGAAAAATAGTGTTCAAGAAGGATTGAAAATAAAAACTAGGGATCACACCAAGCCCAAATACTCTGGCTTTTCTGTGGGAGAACTCACACATTAATAATATTTAGAATGAGAAGAGTAGAGAAGAGAAAAGAGGAGGACTAATGACTAGATTGAAGACAAAATTTGATGCTGTGCCTGTTTACAGTAAGCATCGTTGTAAACTTTTCCCTAAATATCTCGGAGATATGCCCAGGAGTTATATCACTGGGTTCAAAAATATATGTACTGTGTAAGCCAAATTACAGGCGTCAAAGATATCTAGGTCCTAAACCCTGGAACCTGTAAATGTTACCTTATTTGGTAAAGGAGAGTGAAGATATGAATAAATCAAAGGTCTTGGTATGGGAAAATTATCCTGGATTATCTGGATGGGCCCTAAATATAATCACAACTGTCTTTATAAGAGGGAAGCAAAGAATAAGAAGGCAATGTGTGGACTGAAGCTAGATGCTACACTGAAGGCTTTGAAGATAGAGGAAGCAGCCACAAGTCAAGTAATGCAAAGAATGCAGCTCTAAAAACTGGAAAATTAAAGGAAATATTCACCAATTATGACTGACTAGAAGCTCTGATGGACCTCCTACTTCCCAAAAATTAGCCCCTAGATAGTGCACTCTTTGTGACATTTCTGGTCTCACAAAGAGTTGGAGAATTCTCTAGGGAGGTCACTCAAAACAAACAAATATGATACTACATGGGACCTAAAGTCATTCAGGAGCACGTGGAGCACAGGTCAGGGTGACTAGTGATAAAGCTCTAGATGTGGGAGCCCTGCCTAGGGTGCCTGGGAGTCAGAGCAGTTGGGAACAAGAACTGCAGGAAGCCGACCTGGATCAGCAGAGGAGCAGGTTATCTTGAAGCCAAACGGCAATAGAAATACAACTGTGGGGATGAACATTTAACATCAGAAGAGCAGAGAGGTGGAGGAACTGAGCCTGGACTTCTCCTTATGGGCCAAAACCTGTAGTGGGAAAGAAGTGGTTCAGGGTATGTTGCATGTTGAAGGTGAATTTATGAAATTCAGTAAAGGAACATGAGAGGGAAAGAAGAGAGTCACTCTTGCCAAAGTTGAGAACCGAAGTAGAGATTTCATAGGAAGGAAGGAGCTACAGGATTTGGGCATGTGAGAGTCTTTTCAAATTTCTGTCCAAAAGTCTGCACTAAATGTAGAAAAGCAGTTGAAGCCTAGTGAGAGACAGGGGTTTATTGATGCTGAGTTTATTTGAAGTTGTCAAGTTCAGCTTCCTCCTGGGGGTGGGGAGGGTGGGGAAGAATGGTGGTGGTGGTGGAATTGTGGAGGCGAGAGGGAAGGAGTGGATATGGAACTGGTGAAGTGGTCTGCCCGAGGTCACACGGTGAGCGGGACAGGACCACCACAGGACCCAGGCGTCCTGGCTCCTGCACTAATGAAGATTTCCGCACCTGGCCCTTCTCGGTGGGGAAGGGCCACCAATCTGCTCTAAGACGCCAATCTGCTCTAGAAACAAAACGGCCCGGTCAGGACGCTTGCGGGTTTTCTGCTGATACTTTTTTTCAACCACGTTTTCACCCGTTGCTGTGCGTCGAAGACTGATGAATCCCAAGCCCCAGAGAAGGTAACAAGACCGAAATGAAGGAGTCTTTCAGCAGTCCAGCATATTTCAGAAGCAAATATAAGAACTACAGAGCCAGATTTTGATGTTTCCTGGTCTCTCCCAGAAAACAGGAATCCCGGGACGTGTTCTAATCAGGACGTAGGGAATTCGGCCCCTCGAATGCAGAGTGCAGCGGCAGAGGCACCCTACTCTCTGGGAGAACACAGGGCAGCTGACTGGAGCCGCGTCAGCAAATCAGGGTTGAAATCCTGGCTATGTTCATTCATTCATGTGTTCAACAAGGACCTATGTATTTAAATACCGACGTGTACTGGTTTTACCTGTTCATTTTATATGTGCCAAGTAATTGAACCACTCTAAGTGTCATTTTCAGTTTTATGGTTGCTGTGAAATGTATATAAAAAATATCTGATTGTGAGGATTGAGTCAGGATTAAACCAGAAAAGAAAGGCAATTAGATATAGTACGACAGAACGGAACTTCAGTAATGAAGGACATGATTTTATCACAGCAATATCAGACGAGGTGGCCGAGTGGTTAAGGCGATGGACTGCTAATCCATTGTGCTCTGCACGCGTGGGTTCAAATCCCACTCTCGTCGTGAGGTTCTCTGGACCTTGGCCTCTTCGGGGCGGCCATTGTGTGAGCAGGGTGTTCTTCACTGACTCACTTCCTACTTGTCATGTGGATAGTGCCTATAAACATCTAATTTAGCAACTTGCCTCAGAACGGGAGGTGTACTTATATTCACAAGGACTTTTTCGAGGAAAAGCGATATAATAAAACATTACCTAGATATACACAACAAATTATTATATGTTGTGTTACACTTGCAGGTTATTTTCAGCCTATTTTTAACTGTACTGCAATTTTCACCAAGTTTGTTAAAGAGACAAAACTGAAAATATATCCCCCATGACATTTCCTGTTAGATCCAAGGATTCCTCCTTTAGCAGAACAGAAGAATGTCAATATTGTGTAGTTTCTGCTGTGATCTCCAACTTGTCAGAACTTTGGGGCAAAATATTTTTATATGTATATAAAATATTTTATAAAATTTAAGTATTTTATACATAAAATATATAGTTTAATTTAAAATTATTAAAATATTTATTAAACTATCCTATATATAAAGCTATACAGAAAACTCTTGCATCCTTTATTTTACAACCAGCTAATTACATTCGCCACAGATAGCCATTGTTATTAATTCCTTCCAGAATCATATTAAGCATATATGAATATATACCACGTGCAATAAATATATCTTTTTATCTCAAAAAGGGGTAACACAAATGATAACATACTATGTATATTGGTCTGTACCTTACCCTTTTCCCCTAAGCAATATATCTTGGAGCACTTTCCATATCATAAAAAAAAGTGACAGTTTATGCTTTTCCAAGGACACATGGTATTCCAACATATGGGTTACTGTATATTATTTAACCAGCCCTCTATTGGACATTTAGGTTTTTCCCCCATCTTTTGCTTTTACAAACTATGCTGCAATGAATAACTTTATACATTTATATATAATATTATACAGAGAGACATTTATGTATAAAGTTATTCATATATATGTAATTTTGAATATGTGCATTTGTAATACTGCAAGATAAATTTCTAAAAAGGAGTTTGCTGTGTTCTAGGATATGTGCATTTGAAATATTCACACCTACTGCCAAACTGCCCTCCAAAGGAATTTTATTAATCTATACTTCCAGCCAGTAATGATTGAGGTCCTTTCTCCCTTCACCCTCCCCACTATGCTATGTTGTCAACTTCGGCTTCTCTGTTATTTTAGTAAGTGATAGTGATACTGCAGTGCAATTTAATTTTCATTTCTTTTACTACAATGAAATATTTGTTACATTTATAAAGATAGAATATTTTTTGCTTTATTTTATTTTATTTTTTAAGGTGAGAGCAGTATTTGAAGTATGATCTCTAGGCTGCTTCAAGTGCTTGTTGTGAATGAAGAATTCTGGGCCTCACTCTTGATCTATTAAATTATGATCTCAGGGAGTGTGCTCTAGAATCTGTAATTCAATAAAACATCCAGATGCTTCTCATGGTGATCTTAAAGCTTTGTGTCTGGCTGAGGTATCTATGTATTACATCAAATCACCCAGAATGCTCTTTATTTCTGTAAATGTTCAGCCCAGGAAAGCTGCTCCTGCCTTCAATTTTACCAGCCACATCCTCATATCTTGGGCAAATTTTGAAATCTGTTTTTATATCCTCAGGAAATTGGCTACCATTAATTCATTCAGTTGTCTACATTGGACACACATTCTCTACATTTATTGCACCCTCAAATCCTGAGTTAGCTCTCTTTTCTGAGAAAGCAATTTTCCCAGGATGTGTCTATCAGTTCTTTGAGGAAACTGTCAAAGAAAAATTGCACCAGATAGAGTCAAACAGACAAGGAAGACTTTAAGACTATTGCAATCAGGAAGATTAAACTCCATTCGGAATACAACAGAGGCAGCTGAGGATTTTTAGCCAAAGGGTCAGAGTAAGGAGTCATTGGGTGGAAATTTACTGAAAGAAACTTGATTAAAATCAAGAGTGAAGGAAGGGGAACTTGAGTGATATCAAGGGTGTTGGGGGGATTCTAGATAAACTGGCTTAGCGGGATTCTTGCCCAAACTGGAATCAACAGGATTCTTTACTAAAACTGGGCTGGGCAGGCCAAAGATGGTTTGTAAGAGGGCTCAGAGGAGCTTGACACAAGTTTGGTCAAGGAGGGAGTCCTTGTTAATATCCACAGGGATTCCTTCAGCTTCCTTAAAGAATGGGGGATCCACAGACCAGGTAAGTTTCCTACAGAAGTGTCCACATGCTCTCCCAGCCTCTCATGTGTCTGTTACTGGTTTTGCCTCCCTATATCAGCTGTTCCTTGGCCTTCTCTCCAGCCCTGGGTCACTTGAGTGCAGGTACCTCCTCCAGCCAGGTATGTTTCATTACTGTAATTTAGAGGCTTGGAATAATGTCTGAGTTACTGAATTTGAGCTAGGACAAATGGGTCCTTGATGCTAAATATGACCATAATGATTATGTTATTAATTCTCCTTCAGTATTTGAGATGAAGTGGTTCTCCCTTTTGTTATGTCATTTCCTAAAGTTCCAGGAGGGTGGTTGGAACTCTGGAGTCTATTTGAGGTTTGGGCTTTGGGTTAGGATGTTAGTGCTGCAGATGTCTGAGAACCACAGGCTGGAGGTGGCATTGGTTAGAGAGAATGCAGTTAGAAACTCCCCACACCAGAAAGGCTATCAGGTCAGTTCAGAAGAGAGAGGATACTTTGGAGGATGCTTTTGATCATACTAGCATCAACAAGGTTGAAAGAAGACAGGACCACACCTGCTAAGGCAACACTCCAAGCAGAAAATGTTATTTCCCGCTGCAATTAGCATCATCACAGACCATCTAAGTAGAGATACAATCAAGTGCTCATAGTGGGAAACAAAAGAATCTGTTTTCATAAACTTAGTAACCTTACTTTGTTACAAAGTCTCTGTGTAACCAATGGTAAATAATAATATGAGTCCATGAAATATTTATAGTTTAGTGAGTTACTGGAATTGGTGAGAGTAGGACTTGATTTACTTTTTGGTTACATATGAGAACATTAAAATGTTGAAGCAAGAAGGAACCTGAAAATAGATCACTGGATTTAAGGGTTGCCTATTATGACATAGAAGAGATTAATTTGTACAGAACGTAGATACCTGTCTCTTCCTAATTTAGTTCCTGTCCAGCTGAAGGAAATCTTTCCTCCCACTCGCCTACGTTTCTCATTCTAATGGCAAATGAGTGGCTATCTAGAACTAACTGGACTGCCTACGTTTGATCAGCTTTGTCTCCAACTTGATCTCTGTCTACACACAGAGTACTTTTTCAGGGGGACATTTCTTGTCCCTGAGCCTCAGCTCCGTAGAACCGTTTCCCAGGTGCTTCGGGTGCAGGTGTTTGGCACTTTCTGAGGAGGTCGCGTTCAGAGGTTCGCTCCATTTCCCGCGGGCCCGAGCGGTAGGAGAGGGGAGACGCGGGGAGAGACGTGAGTTTTTCTGCTTGGACGGCAGGAACTGCGCGCTCCGCGGCTGCAGGCTTTCGAGGAGTTTCCAAGCCGGCTTCGCATTTGGGCTGGGTGATGAGAACGAGAAGAAGGAATGAGAGAAGGCAGAGGAGAGTGAACTGTCTCGGTGAAATGGGAATGGGAAGAGGAGGTGAGAAGTGACCCCGGACGGAGAAAGCGCGCTCCCGGCCGAGGCTCGGCGACTCGGCACGTGGGGTTTTAGGCTTAGGAGCGGGCGCGGCGAGGAGGCCTTGGTACCTTGGAGGTTTTGAGATGCGGTCTCCATCAAGGAATTGCGCTGCTGGAGCTGTTCCGCCCGAGCCCTGAAAAGTTCATGAGGTTGCTGGGAGGCTGACCATTTCTAGTCAGCCTCCTTGCTATTGAACTTTGTGCGGTTGGAAAACTTAATTTTAAAGAATTCGTTAGTTCCCAGGAGAAGTATTCTGTCCTTTTGTTTGAACAGAGTCGTAGAATCCAATACTATTGACACGACCACAAATGTGTAAAGCAGAGGAACGCTTTCTTTCCGGTTCAGATATGATCCCAAGAACTATAAAATGTTCCCCTGAGAGAGGTCCCACCGAGATTCGAACTCGGATTGCTGGATTCAAAGTCCAGAGTGCTGACCATTACACCATGGGACCAACCGAAAAGATAAACCTCCGTCTGTAATCATAGTTAAATATTTCCTTCATAAGCTTTCAATAGCTCTAACCCAGAAGAGTTAGGTCAAGCTTCTGTGAGACCACGCTGATAATGAAATCTGACGCTTTACTGTCGCTGGGGAAGAGGCATTGGGCAAAATATAATTCAGGGCAATCCCGGCACTCTCTTCTGCTTCTGTTGGGAGCATAAATTAATTTTCAGAAGACCATGAGAGGCGGATCCAGATTTTGTGAAGCCTGAAACTTACACAAGTTTCTTAAAAAGGACACAAGGGGGTCCTTTTTAAGAAAAAGAATAGACATTCTCAACAGACACAGCTACTCTAAAGCATATATAACGTATCTGAGGAAAAACTGGAATAAAAAGAGGCCGCAGTCTTAACTAATTTCCATTATAATATACTTTTGCAAGTTTTACAAAAACATATGTTCATACAGGGCGACCACTTCCAGGGCCTTGGAGAGCAGTCTTGACACACTTAGTGAAACTCATGATAAATAACCCTCCAAAGAGCAGTTTGGCAATATCTATCAAAATAATCTCTACTCAGCAATTTTTCTTTAAAAAAGCCATCCTACAGAAATACAAAAAATTAAAAAATTAAAATATATGTCTAAGGATGTTCACTGTGATATTTTGCAATATCAGAAACTTGAAAATATGCCCATCCATTCAACGGAAATAATATACTAAAAAGAATGGGATAGATGTAGGTATCCACATGTTGGTTTGGCAGTTTCTGGAGAGGATTTAATCTAAGTTTAAAACAAATAAACACAACCCAGAAATTTGCTGAATTGTAATATATAGCATGAACTAATTTTTGTAAGTCATAGTTTGTGAGTTTATATAT